TCTAACAAACTCATCTGATGTTCACTTATATCAATTTTATCGCCTCCATCAAACATGAAAGTCCCCTCGACCCATGGACCCTTCAATAAAGCAATTAATCTTATAAATGACCCAGAAATGTCTCAGTGGTGCATCAGAACATGTGAAATCTGATAAATAAATGCGCTGACACCGACATCATTTCAGGTTATGAAGTCTAATTATTCCCAGTCCTGTCTGTGAGTGCATCCAGCCCACTGTATCCCACAGATTAAAGACAGAAAACTCAAAGTCAGTCATTATTCTGATTTCATACACATCTCACAGCAGGACTCTAATGGCCACCGCCATGTTTCACTGTTAAAGGGCCATGCTTGTGTGATGGGCTGTTAGTGCAAAGATGTAGAGAACTTATTTAATATTAATCTTATTTCCTTGTTTCCACCAAACACACAGCTCACTTGCTGCAACCGCCAACATGGCTCTCTGCCCTGTTAGCGCACCTTTCTCTGGCCTTAAATACTTCTAATTGCTGATGGGAGTCAGCTGTGCAAAAAGGCAGGAGAGGCAGCAGGACACGCCCACACGGGCAGTTTCAGGAGGAGGTCCTGCTGGGCGGTAACAGCCACCATTATTAAACTGACAGCCGCACTTTCCATGAAAAAAGGATGTGGAGCTGAAGCCACTTCAGGCAGAACATGTTTGTCACAAGGAAAAGTAATTTCTTTAAAATGACATCAAGCTGAGGGACTGAAGGGGATCCAGTACGAGGTCTATCAGTTAAACAAAGGATCCCCACAGTGGATCTGATCATTCATGTCTGTGGACTTACTCTGTTACACTGGACAAATCTGTGATCGTGGCCTTCCCACTAGCCAGACCTGTTCGCTGGGAAAGAGAGCAATAGCACTGTCCTAGCGCTAACAAGACACGTAGCTGGTTCTGAGGAGAGAAAAGATGTTGGCAATACTGGTGTGAAGAATAGGGAAGGAGATATGAGACTTCATGCAGCAAGCAGTTAGCCACAGATCAGCCCTGGGGGACAGCTAATCAATGGGGCTGTTGTCAAGTCTCATCATCTCTCCTGTGCTGCCCCAGTTTCTCCAATAAGTCAAGGCCACAGCTCAGAGGGCTCGGGAAGGTTACAGTTAGCGAGGTGCAAAGCAGTGCAGGACTGATGACGGTGTGGCAGAAGCCAGTGCTGATAAAGGTGGAGGCTCCACTCTGATGTGAGACAGCCTA